TTGTGCTTTGTTTTTCCGGGTCCTACGCGACAAAAAATAAGTAAATAAATAATGCAAAAATCAATAGCTCGATAAAGCCAATCAATACTATATTGTGAGAATATTACGTTGAAAAGAGAAAAGGTCGTTTTCACAAAGAAAAAAGAAAAGTCCGAAAAAATGTGTGTATGCTAGTATTCGGCGAAGAGTAGAAGCTCTAGAAAATGAACTTTGAACTTTGGCAGAAGTCTCGAGTTATTTATGCAAGGATCGGAGTCAGAATGAACGCAGCTTATGATGCCAAAAATCGAATTTTCGCTTAGAAAATCCTACGAACACCTTGCTCCTGCATGTAACAGACGCGTGTACTTACCCATGGGTACAATTACCATCTTTTTTCTTGCTTAGAGTTCAAGAAAAAATTTAAAAACGGAAACGTCCGCCCCAGTAGTCCTAGACTCCTCCCATATATGCCGTTGTATACTACGAAGGATCGCATCTCTAACCATAATATTTTGGCCTTAATATGCCCAAGCTCTTGAAAACCATCGTTTCCAGCTAAAAAACGAAAAAAAAGCGACATGCTTTTCTTACCAAGCTAACAGCTTATCAACATCCGCCTCGCTTTGAAGTTTATCCCATACGTCCCACGTTCAATCCTTTCCATTAATTTGGGTCATTCATTAAAAAATCGGCGCTATTCGGCTATCCGGGCCACAAAATTTTTTTGTCATGGATTTCGCTCAAACTTGGCCCAGAAGGGTTATTCGGCCCGCTGATGCCAAATATCACATTGGTTTGAACCGTAGCGTCATTTTCTCGGGCTACGGTTGTCACATGGTAACTGGTGTAAACATAGTCCTGCCTGAAACGGGTGTACGGAGATTCCGACGACCGTGAAGCTTTGCACAGACGACCACCGCCGCACACCCTGCTGCGGCTTTTGCCTAAGCAAAGCACAGGGGAAAGATACATTTGCCGGTTTGTGATATTGACCCCTACCGTAAACCTACCGTAACCATGCAGGGAGACGTTTTCGTGCGGAGAAAGTGCGACATTTCTAATCACGCTTGTCGAATAACCTCTCTGTGCGAAGTTACAGCGGATTTTGAGATTTTGACCCCCTACCGTATATCCACATAACTCCACAGGGAGGCGTTTTCCTGCGAAGAAAAGGTGATATTCGTGATCAGCATGAGAGATAACCTCTCTGGGCCAAGTTTGAGCGAAATCCATGACAAAAAAATTTTGGGGCCCGGATAGCCGAATAGCGCCAAAAAATCTATAATACAAATATTGTATAAGTTCAATCTGGAAGAGCTGATCGATTGGCAAGTATTTATATAGGAAAAACTCTATGCAAAAAGCTCTTCCCTAGAATAAAATGCACCACATAATCGTCATAAAGGTCGCCGAAAGCGCGCCAGTCGCAATTTGGCTGGCGCAACTTTGGCTTTTTGCCAGCTGTCTGATACTTGTGATGTTTGCTCTCCAAAAAGGAAAAGAACTACATTGCAAGGTTTTTGAGGCTGGAAGCGAGCCAGAAAATGCACTGCAACACATGTGATGTGACACCTTTGAGAAAATGAGTTGAGTAGTTCGTATACGATTTGGAAATTGTTAGAAAAACGATATTTACTCTTGTGTTGCCCGATTACATTTACGATCGGTGGATATGATCGCATAACCAGTGTACTTTTCATATCAAACACTTATCAAAGCTCAGAGTTATTCAAGATTGACTTTCAAAATGAGTACTAAGTTGCATGGTTGAATGAAAAAAATACTCCACTACTAATAAATAGTAGAGAAATACTCATACTTCACTTAAAGTGAGAGTAGAACAAGAATTATCTTTCTATCTCTCTTCCCCTTCCGTAGTATAAAAACCCAAACTATACCAACCACCGTCCCAGTTAATGTGTATTCTAGGGACCGTTTTAAAGTTTGTTATTGGAAATGTGCGGAAGGAAGCATCTGTACTCAAACTCCTTAAAAACGCTGTTAAATTGGTAATATGCTGCCTCCACCAATCGCTTACGACTCTTTTGCGCCTCGTAAAGCGCCGGAAATACGGCCGTTGCTTCACCGTTTGCGCAGCCAGCCAATCGCTTACCACAGTCACAGTCAAACCCAGTAGCATGTCCAAGTTTTCGTCTCCAAAAGAAGAAACATGAAAACCCCTGCGTTCGCATTCCCATTGGTGGCAACTGCCGGCGAATCGCACGCGGCCGCTCAAATCGACGTGTTCTGGCGGCGCGCCAGTTTTTATGCCTGCGTCTCCCGCTATCTCGCTGGGGACGACGTGTGCGGCGCGATCGGGCTGCATTTGATTTTTCTGCTCAGTTTGTCAAAACAACTCATGGTACAAGACACTATCCAGTGTTTAGGCTTTGTCAAAGCATTTCGATAGGTCTTACAGGTCTTCTCCGTCTGTAGGGCTATGCTTTGGGACCTCGTTTCACGAACTGCGACATGGTACACTCAACGACGCGTCGCGTTTGCGTTCGTTGTGTTTGTCATGTCTGGGCAAGTTGAATGTGTGGCAGAGAATTTTCTGGAAGATAACGTGTCTTCCTGTCCACTTGCGGAAAGTTTTTTTTGTGACCATAATATCTTTAGTCGTGGCCAGTTGATCTTAAACTTTTATTCGCTTGATGCCTTGTTAAAGTACAACACGCTTTTCGCAAACTTTTAGCGAAAATATTCGGATGGAAAAAGAGATTGATTTGATTTGACCAATTTAATTATGTCACCAATCATGCTATGATAGCGTTGATAGCGCGGAAATCTCTGACTCGGTCAAAAAGCTGTAAATTTACATATGAAGAATCGATGTGCCTATTCAAAAAGGTGAAATTGCGGGAAATTGTGCGGCTCTCGCAGCGAACGCTCCTGCAAGTCTACATAACACCTTTAGATTACTGACTAATCCCAAAACATAAGTAGATCTGCCTGCTAAATATAAAGGACGTTGTTTTGCATTTTAGTAATTTCAGAATAATAAATACTGAATCGCTGGTTGTATGCTAAATCTGATAGGTGTAACTAATTACAAAAACCCAATAATCAACCAATTTAGAATGAATGTTTGAACAGTTGTGCTGAATTTATAACATAATTATTGCAGTTAGTTAATTAGAAACGTAAAAGAGGAAGGCATTAGCCAATTAGACATGAAAGCGTGTGCGCCTACCTAGGCCTACAGTAGGAAACGACGCTCAGTGATATGATTCGCCAAAACCCGCCTTACAAAATGCAAAGTTGTATCAGTTTACGTACAAAAAGTGCCGCTCAAAATCTCACAAACATAGGAAAACCGTTGAGCATTTACACTGCTTTTGGAATTTTTCGCTCATTGAAACCGCTTCGCTAAAGCTGCCGCGTCTCCGCCCACTCTATAACTGGAAGAGGACTACATTTGCTTCAAAGGCTTTTGTTGAAAGACCAAGCAGGAGGAAAGTTGAAGTGTGTAGTTCTACTCCCATTTCCATTCAGACCCATACAAAAAAACCACACTGTACTTTGCTAATTTCGTGTATGTGTTTTTGGCGCACTTTTCGTGCATGTGAAATGAATAAATAAATATTTCTAGGATACCCACTGAGCATAGTCCGATGTATATCTAGTGGTGTCACTGCGTACCCACTCAAGTCAAAATTGTTGGTCAAACATAAAAATCTTTGTAACAAATCGAAAACTTAATCCAGTATATTTCGCATTATTTGCCCTCACTTCAGAGTACTCTCTCGTTTGGGGTCTACTGTAGGGTTACTGTAAGAGGGATTGCGGAAACAAGTGTCTGTCACAGCTGATGAGCGACCTCGGCCTCGTTCGTATAATCTGCGACGACCCCGGTCGCGTGTGGTCGCGGCGCTTATTGTCCGCTGCGGGTCGACGTGCAAAGGACCGCAATCTCTCCCCTGCGTCCCTGCGCCGTGTTTGTCTGCGCCTCCTGCACTGCGCGCTATCTCCGCGAAAACACTGTGCGTCTGCAGTCTGTCGCAGGCGGCCGTGACGGCTGGCGAATAGCGAAATTGGCGCATGTGGAGATGGATGAAACTCGCGCACTATGTGGTGATGCGGTCCGTGACTACGTACTCTGATCTGCAGTAATTGGTGGAAGTCCGCATCGTGCGTGAGTGGGCGGTGGCCTAGTTCGATGCGCTTGCGGTTGCGACGCGGCTCTATCGATCCCGCTTCGTCGCGGCGGCGCCTGCGCTGGGCGTGGCCTCGCGTCGAGTGTCATCAGCAGTCGCGTCGCGTACGCGCACACATTTCACGCTGCGTGTCCGTCGCGGCAGGTGGTGCTGTCGGCTGCGGAGTCTTATCGACTTCTCTTATGTCTGCATCTCTTCAAATCTCATGTTTGCATTTGGCGCTTATGGTGTTTTCTTGTTAGGACGGTCGAAACGCTATATATGCGTATCGATTGCTGTTTGCTTGGTTGGGGTATTGTAACATAGTCATTGTATCATTCATGGTACATTTACGGTAACATTGAAGGATTCAGTAACTCATGGCGGGGAGGAGGGGGGAGGGGGGTAAGGGGGGGGGGGGACAGTGCGGTCCCGCGCGGAGATTGCTTGCCCTAGCGCGGATGTAGTTATAGCAAATTCGCTCCCGTACTATAAATGCTCCAGCAGACGAAGATGGAGATTATAGTGAACTAGTGGAGTGTAAAAGAATAGCAGTTTACGATTTTGGGATCAAAAATAATTGTGGAGCAAATGCGATTTATGATCAGTGACAGACAAAGGCTCTGTAAATCGAGTACGTGAGCTTTACAAATGTGGGGGGAGTGCCTGCGTTGTCAAATACATGGTATTTTTTGAGTTTTCAGGGTGAAGGACAAAAAAGAAAAAACGAAAACAACATTGACGCATTATAGAAAATTGAATGTAGATCAACATGCAAGAGCAATTCTCCCTGTCAAAGTTTTTTTTCCTTGGCTATATCATTAATCCCGAACATTGCTCCAATTCCCGAGCAAATGCACGATTTCCTATTACGTAGTATGTCGCTAATGTTCGTAAAATGTATTATTTATCAAAGTCCACGAATAATGCCTAGATTACAAGAAGAGGCATGGATACTACAACTCCATGGTCTGGATGGGAAGATGATGAGTCAGACTCGAAGGTGAGTTAGCGCTCATTTTCAGGTAGTAAGCATGAAGACATAGTAGGAAAGTCGGAAGTGTCGGAAACATAGATTTTTCTCTCACAAAGATAAAGTGAAATGGAGTGGGATAACTAAACATAAGAATAGGGAGGGGCACTTGTTATTACTGTCTGTGACTTGAAAAAATTGGATCTGGCAAACAAAATTGGTTTTTGTTAGTCTTAAACGGATAATTCATTGGCAGACATCAAGTTAGCCCCATTTGTGCATTTCTGCGTTGTGGGTGTCCCTGTTCGCATGTCACGCTTCTCTAAAAAAAACATTGAACTTTCAAGTTTCTGTAGCTAACTGGTTGTGGTATTTGTAATCACTCTTGATATCATTGGTTTAGAGAAACCAAGTTTGTATAGTATTAGAATTTTACATGAGTTTTGTTACACTTGGCCGTAGAAATCTTCATAACTCATAATATTTTTGCTCATTTCCAAATCATGTGGAGTTCAGGATTTTCAATATCTACAAAATCACATATTGATCCAGACTGTGGGATTTCATTATCCAGAGCCACACATGAAGAACACATCTTGAGTTTTTTGATTTCCCCATTTATCAGTCTTACCTGACATTCCAAAGTTTTCCGCAGTAACGAAGAAAGCATAACAAAACTCATGCAGTCCGATTGTCATTCGATATATTTGAGTAAAAAAAGTTCGCAGATCCTGCCTTCTTCCTAAAAAAGTCAGCATGAAATGGAAAGCTGCGAGATGGTATGAAAATGGTGTGTTCTTATGGTAGGTTTCAGTAGGTCGTGTAGTGGTTTAGTGCGTTTTTAATTCCGGTTTTTGTAGGCCTCGCTTAGGCTGGTATCAAAATAAGGTCCATTCTGTGACCAGGTCTTATATCAACTCCTACTTGTGCTCTAACGTGTTTTGGATGATTCACTACTTGAACGTCATACGAGAACATGTTTAACTTTGTCAAGCAACGTGTGCAACAACGTGATCAAGTATCCTAGACACAGATTGGATAGTATGTTTGAAATGCTTTTTTTGCTTCCTGAGATTATGTGTCCCAGGTCAAATGATCAACTCATGGTATTTTTTTGGGTGTTGCATAATGATGACTCCAAAAGACGAGCCTTTGTGGTCTCATTCTCCGTAAGAGTGGCGCCTAAGGGGCATATATCGTTTGTTCCCCATCAAGATTCCCATAGGTACGACGTCACCTCGCTGCCTTTAGCTCTTTTGAACGTGTTAACCTCGGGCAGTTCCGTTGTAAACTCAGGAGAAACGTGTCAAAAAGAGCGAAATGCAGAGCCGCAACACGTACGCACGCTGGTTCACATGGGAACTTTTCTGGGGCACACAGGATATATGATGGGTATGACGACGTAATCTATTGAGACAGTGTCCGGGCAGATATTTGGGAGCACTTCAAAAACGGGCTCCGCACGATTGCTACTGGGATATCTCTTTTCCGGAGCGAGAAAATCACTTCAGAAGTTTGAACACAGCCGCCCCTCGATCCAGTATCGTCCTTACCAAGCAGAAAAGCGTGACGGGGCACGTCGATGCAGCCATTGCAACGACCGCGTTCCGGCACGACTTCCTTTGTTAAGGACGAGACTGAACCGAGAGGAGGCTGTTTTCAAACTTTTGAAGTGTTTTTTCGCTCCAGAAACAATATTTCGTAGTCGCAGAGCCATGACTGCATGGGAGGCCGCCTCAGTAGCATGTTGCAACTGAGGTGCTCCAAAATATGCCCGGACACTGCCTTTAAGTGCTTTTGCCAAACAAAACAACATCTTCGCCAACGATAACCTCGACAGCTGGCCTAGGCCTCGGGCAGAGTTCACGCGATTTGATCGTCGCGATTCATCGCTACAAGACAACTGGTACTAGTTCATTGCATGCCGATCAGCTTGCATTTCGGTTGTTACGATTAGTTGTGTTGGAAAACTATCATAACCGAAACACGAGCAGATCAGCATGCAATGAACTTGTAACACTTGTCTTGTAGCGATGAATCGCGACGATCAAATCGCGTGAACTCTGCCCGAAACCTTAGAAATACCTTCAAATTGAACTTACGTCCAAATAACCCACTTTGTGGGATAAATGAAAGCAAGGCATAGAAAGGGAAACCAGAAGTGGTGTTCAGTACTTGGGTTCCGTGCGCCTTTTAGGTTATCGGTTAGGAGGCTTATCCAGTTCAGTCAGTACATGCGGTTCACTTCTTCGCTATTACCTAGATCATTGATCCAACCAGTAGCTTACGAGTGAACCAAGACGAATCGGTTGAACCGGATAAGTCTAGCGCTTGTCTAAGAGTAGCTCCGTTTCTCAGAAGAAGCGAAAAAAAAATCATTTATGTTTTTCCAGAAAACTCTATGACGTTGTCTCGACCTAGGGAGAGATTCTTGGGGTTGTTTCATACTGCCGTCGCGCAGCAACGACAGTCGATCGATCGATATCTTTAGCCCGCCCCAGTATGACTGCAACTGCTGCAGCGACTGCAGCATGAAATAACTTTTGTGTAGCAAACAAAAATTCTCCAATGCATATGCGCATCGTTTCTTGTTGGGGATGAAGTTGAAAAAAATTCTCAGAGGGAATACTTACCACTATTGATAATTTATGAGGTAAAAAAAAGAGGTATAGAGTGGGTATAAACTGCATCGAGGAATAGTATCTTAGAGCAAATAAATTTCAACATTTCTAAATGCACATCATAGTTGAATCCTATTCTTACCTAGGACCGAGTGCGGGAGCAACTCAGCGAGATGCGTGCCCGCGAAGACGCTTCGGATGGTCAGACCCCCAAAAGAAAGAGAGGACGGCCCCGAAAGAACGAAACGAAATCGCATGAGAACAAGGTTTGTTGTTCTCATTGCTGAATAGGGCTCTACACTATCTGTTCAGAAAAGGGCTAAACGGAAAAGTCGTGCAAGACAAGATAGTACCGATAGTACCGAAGATGATGAGGATCTTGTCCTAGACGATGATGATGCTGAGGAAGAAGAGGCAGATGAGGTGGAAGAACCTGAGGAGGATCCAAACGATCCGGAGTTTGAACCAAACCGACGAACTAGCCGTCGAAATCGCAAGGTTACTTCATGCTTATAGAGCATCTCCCATAACTTTTGACCTTCACCGAAGACTCTTTGTGAATTATCCAAGTCAATGCAAAGATAGATCTCATCGACAAATCCAATCTTAAGTTTTTAATGCAAACTTGTAAAATTTCATCTTCAGCCTGTGAAAACTTACAACACGAAGCTGTTGTTACGTGAAGAAATGTCGAAAGCTAGGGAATCATTCGTGAGTAGTTTTTTTGCAGCAGATGAGCGCAAAATGATTCATTAACTTCTTCAGAGTAAAAGTGGCCGCGGTCGTGGACGCGGACGCCCTCGTGGTAGTGGTCGAAAAACGTGTGTTGACCTTACTTTCCTTGAGGATCCCAGGAGAACTCGTGTCACCGATGAAAACGAATTTGACAGGCTTCTAGATGTAAGCTTAGAATTTGTAGCCTATCGCATACACGAGCAGCTCTTTTTTCTTCAGGAGGAAGTAGCGATGTATGAAAAACACCTTCCAACTTTACCACCAGTGATACCCGATCCAAGCCAGAGGCTTTATGTCGTTCGTGTGGATTCCGTTGAGGCACTTACGAATGCCGGCGCTGGTTTCCGTCTCATGACCAGCTGTGTCACTGATGACATGATGGTCTCGCTTTTGTAAGTACTTCCAAAAAATTATTTCACCAAAAAATCCGACGCCATCACGCGTTCAGTGCCTAATGCGTATCTGTAAGCTTTCCCAAGTCTCAGTAACGGTCTGGCAATCCTGCTGTCAACATAATCCTTGGTGCAGTTACTGTGAAATCCCTGTTTGATCCTGACTGTTTCATCCTGCATCAAAAAATCCACATGGCCCCTTTCCATGTGTGCCTGTATTCCTTACTTCAGCCATCTCGCGACTGACAAGTATTTTGTCAACACCAACGCGGAGGACGTAGTACAACTTGCTCAAGTTCTTCGCCATGTTGTAAGTCATTGCAGCATTCGTTCTTCGTCTTCCCGATATACCTTGTTGTTCTAAGCGCTGTCTCAGTGGGCTGCGGGTCCTCGAAGACCAGCAGGTCGGGGAGGCGGCGTCTTTTGGAGAATTCATTTTTCTATCTAATTCTCTTTTTCTTGAAGTCCTTCATTTAGTGGAACCAGCTACCGCTATACACAAGATTAGCTTGGGAGGATGCTGCTCATAAAGCTGCTTTGAAAAATCATACCGACAGAGAAGAGGAAGAATCGGCAGGTAACATTTTGTTGATGTTATTCTGTCGTTTTTGGGTCTCATATGTAAGAAGGTCTTTTTTTACTGAGTTTAGTTCTTCAGCATTTAGATCATTTATCGTTATATTATCTATCGTCTTAGAGCCATTCGTCGAATCTTTTTTTTCAGGAGAGGAGGGTGTGCATGTCCGAAAAGAAGTTATGCCGGTGCGAGAATTTCCGTTCGGATTAGACCCGATGTTATCGAAGTCATGGCGGGCTCAAGCTTTTAATGGCCCTGCTGTGTCTGATATGGTAAGGAAGCAGCGACCTATCCTAAGTTCATGCTGCAGCATACGCGAGACGTGGAGGTCCTTCATCGACGTACAGGTAAGTGTTGCTTTCTTTTGCTTACTAGCGAGATAGACATTGCCATTTCAGTCACATCTTCTTGCTGCCCATTATACAGCTATGTTCTATGCTTGCCATTTCTGTGGAGTACTTCATCAGTCAGTTGAGGCCCTTTTGACGCACGTGGATTGTTCGAGATGGACGAGTATGCTGCTGAACCGCATGGTCAAGGGTGGAGACAAGCAGAAGGCATGTTTTATGGTTTATTCATTCACACTTCCACACGATTATCGCCATTATTATCGCAGGTTGAGATGAAAGTTGCTTATCTCTTCATGGTATGTACTGATTGTGGCTTATGGCTGCCTATACGGGTAAATTATCCACCGGATCGACTTCCAAAGGCATGGTGCTTCTTTGCCACTGTCATGGTGAGTCATCTCAGTAAACTCGAAAGTTTACGATTATTTTCCATGAGATTGTTCAGGAAAATCATTCTTGCAAAAAGCTGGTACCTTTGGTAGTTTACATGGCGGAGGCGGTAGATGTACCATCTAGGGATGCTCGTTTAGTAGTTCATTTTGTGCCATCCTTCCTGAAGTGGGTGTTGATTGTTTTATCTGATTATTCTTATATCAACCTTTGAAACATTGCTAGTATCGAACAATAACTAGTATCGAACAAGAATATTTCAGAAACTTCCCAGTCTCGTGCGAAGAATGTCAGATCAATGCATTTTCCTCACCTGACGAGATGGATCATCATTTTCAAAATGTCCATCATACAAGGTTCAAATGCACTAAATGTGGAGAATGCAGCGGGACTGAGATGTTTCATAGGTATGGAAGGTCTAAATATACTTACTTTGAACTTTTATGTATAACTTTGTGACAAGTGATACTGTTCTGCTATCCCTCACTCCTTTTGCAGAGCTCATCTTGCTTCGCATTTGAGTGATTCGCTGTTACTTGCTGACTATTTGCGCACCAGCTGCACTTTCTACCCGCCACCATTTTGTGATGGACCACCTGTAGTGGGTGCAAATGGGGAAACTCCTGCTTGTGGAGGATGTACTTCAACAATTACCCCATCTCCTATGGGACATGACTTGGTTAACTTTGAAGAAGATTGAATTCTTGATCATACTGTATCTTCTTTGTCTAGCTGGATCACTGTGAACCTTTGGTGAAGACGAAACTGATAAACGCGCTAACTCTTGCAAAATCAGCCGTATCGGACGACGACGACGACGACGAAGATACCAAGCGTATGCTTTAATCCTTCTATTTTCATAATTATTATTTGAGCTTGTACATTACGTTATTCCTGCAGGTCGCGCGGATATGGGTTTCGAGAATTTCGATTATAGTGAATTAGAATTCTCTCCTGATGAGAAGGAGGCGAAGAATCTGATCAACGAATTTTTCCACAAGGTAAATTCTGATCTCCAGTGTTCTTCTGTCCTCTATTCAGTTTTTAAGGTCAATGGTACAAGCGAACCAGACGATGACGTGTTGGATTGGAGTATCAGGGTCAATGATTATAAAAAGGTAGTGGAACTGCTCAGCCCCGAGAGGAAGTTAGGAGTGAATTTTGCCGCCCCGAGGGTGAGTTATCGTCGTTATGTTCCGTTTCGTGATGCTTTGATGATTTCCTGGATTTGTGACTGACTCACAGTCCGAAAGTGTTTCTTCATTTTTATCAATTATATAATTTGTTTTAGACGGTGTTAGGATCCGATAACTTTGCTGATCTTTTGGTCACGAAGTTTACGAAGAGGATATCGTTGCCAATTTCTGCTTGTATGGAGCTGCTGTCGGGTAATCTGCTACTGAAAAGGTGCGAAGCTAAACCTGATCATTTGCTAAAACATTTGCTATCACTGTTTCTTATAGATTCATGTATTGCACCGCATGTAACTCCATCCTTGCATCTCCCTCCGGGTTGGATACGCATAACAATACGAAATGTGGCACCGAATCAGTAATTCCTATTTTTTGTGCCGGCTTTTAGCGGGCTACACTTGTCTTTCAGCTTGTATCGCTATTTTGTCCACCAGCGCCGGTAAATTCGGAGTTGGAATGTCCTACATGTTCCAAGTCTGTGTGCTCCATATCTGGGTTCCGTGCACATATGGCAATACAACATGGTATCTACGTTGAATATAAGACTGGCACTCAGCTTGGAATGACGCCAGAAAGCAGTGAGTTGGCCTTTTATTTGTAACGAATTATCGGCATATCTATCTCACTGCCGAGCTAATTTGAACCCACGACTCGGGTGGAATCGGGAAGCCGGTTTTATCAACTTATCTGCTTTATGTAATTCGCTTACAGATGCCAGTCTCCAGGACATAGCTGCGAGATATCCAGACACTAGGACTGCCGTAGCTCGCGACACTGACAATGCGCTATGGCTGCGATATGGCATACTGCAACCAAGATCGCACTTCGAAATGCAGCTGAATCTTGCTAAGAGGTACACCTCAAGTTCCTCCTTGTTGGGCTGCGTATGCACTTCCATTTACAGAGGAATCAAGGTGATTGGAATGGATCCGAAGGAGAATGGGACTCCGAACCAGAGCACTCCGAGAGGTGGGCTTCGCCCCATCATGGCGCGACGTTCTGCTTTCACTTTGAACGATAGTCCATCACCACCAGGATTGATGAGAAGAGATGATTCTCCGGCTTTCACTTCTGCTTCTGCGTTGGCTCAGGGAATCAATCAGCATTACATAAAGCCTTTCGTATTAGTCAACGTGAGTGCTCGAGATTATAAAGAAAGTTCTCAATCGTTTGGTTTGGACGCCTTTCCATTTAGGGCACTTTTTTATCAGATTTGTATACCCAAGACTAGACTATAGACTCACGTATTCTCTAAGAGACACGAGCACGCTTTGCGTACGTCTGATAAAGAAGTTTATGAGTGTGTTCCAACGCGTTTTGGTAAATTACTACCAAGAGTTCATGAAGGAACATGTTTAAGCGTTGTTTAATGAATTTGAACATGTTCTTTCACGAATTCTTAATAGTAATTTATCAGAACGGGTTAGACGCACTCATAGACTCGCTAGTCAGACGTACGCAAGTCGTGCTCGTGTCTTTTAGTCAGAGTATGTATGGTAAATGCATTATAGACATGTTTTGCTGTTTCAGAATATGCTGCGTTGCAAATTCTGTGCCCATCAAACGTGCACTCAAACAATGATGCGAGATCATTTACAATCCAACCATGTTTTGGTCTGTCGAGCCTGTGGAAATGGATTTGCGCATCGCGAAGCTTTGACCCGGCATGGAAAACTGGGACGATGTTCGATGCAATTCAAAGGTATGCATGCTTGATGGTGCTATTAAGTGAAAATGAGGTGTAGAGTAGCTCGTTCTTTGGTCATTTATAGACGTCTCTGTGAAACAAATCTCTGCTGACTGTGGAGTTTGCTATAAGAGAATGTCACTTGCTAATGCATACCTCCATTTGTTCCGGGAGCATCTGAATGCGGTGTTGTATGGCACGGTATCTGGACAGGTAAGCGCCTTCATGTTGAATAATGTCTTTTGAATAAACATAATCACTTACAGGTTTATCCAGAGCATCTGAATCTTCACGTTGATCAAAGTTTGGCGGAAGTCCTACCTGTAAAAGAAGTGGCTCCAATCACTCCATTGCCTGCACCTAGTGAACATAGCGAACGAAGAAATCGCGAAGTGGTCGTGTACAAAGTACCACCGAATGTGAGTTTGTATCGTCGTCGTTGGTGCTCTTCGTAGTAGTGCAAGTATTTCGCAAGTCTTTTAGGCGGATTGCACATGTTATCTTTGTGGAATGCAAATGGCCAATGCAGATCAACTGAATAATCATCTCAGCAGGCATCCGGAGAAGTGGACCAAATGTCCATTCTGCATCGGTGAGCCCAGATAGTTCCGTGAATGCCCAGCTTATGTTCGCAATGCGGCAGCAGGAATGGCCATGAAGGTCCAAGCTCGGAAGTTCTGACGCTAATTGAGAGACTCCCTATATCATGAGAAAATTTCCACCGCTCCCAACCGATCTCAGTATGATCATCGATACGCAAAGAGCAATTTAGAGACTTGTAGCCGTTTAAAGAGATCATACTTAGATAATATAGTAGAAACTGGAACATAACGTACTTCTAGAGATATTGTATCTTTGTTAATTATATATCTATGTGTTTCAGATTACACTCCTATCGCAGACCATGAGGCAATGAGAGTGCATCTTACACAACGACACATGGATAAAAAAGATGGCAATTTGGTGGGTACTTTTTTTCTAAGGACGAAGTCTCCACAATTTTACTCTAGAGAAGACTTTTGTCATCACACTTTCGTCATAGATCTCAACTTTGCTTGTAACACCGGTGCTTTTAGTGTTGTCGATATTGCCAGCGAATCATAGCTGGTGAAAGTTGTGCACATCTGCTCTACATGTGCACACAAACTCGAAAGTGTGCGTTGTGTTATGGAAATCAGGTCATGAAGAATTCGGCTGAGATGACTGTACACTGGACAAATAAACATCTGGACATTTTGAGAAGGTATTGAGTGGAAATTTTTTTGATCTCTTTGAAAATAGTGTTAATATTATACAGGTTCCAATGCTCTGATTGCGGAATGACATTCTGTCATGTAAAAGATTTTTGGAGTCATCAGTGTCGTTCGCACTTTATGCAGCAAAAATGTAGCTGCGGGTTCTCAGTGGTGAGTGGTATTCTGGTTTTCGTTAAGCATTCTGAAGTAGAATACTTCAGACTTTTTCGTCTCGGACTGCGTTCTTACTGCATTTTGGTATGCACATAGATGAGGCAAATATGACATGTAAACTGTGCAAGTTCAAATTTTCCTCCAAGGTTGCTCTGCAGGTAAGCATAGTAACACTCCTTTCTGAATCCGATTGATGTGATTGTTTTTAGAATCATCGCCTTTCACATGCCATAATGGTCAACAGTGCAACTGGAAGACAGCTGATTATTCTGGACCCTAAACTTGCTCAAGCAGAAGTAAGTGATTAGTGCTAATGAACAACGGTTTTGGTTTCATGTTTGTACTTTCATCCCTTTTTTTATTGGGCATGTTTCATCCTTTTTGAGATTGAGAGGCGCATATGCTTGGGTAATGCCTATTGTAGCGCTGAGCAAGAAGTGTAGTGGGCCTTGTCGTCCTTTATTTGTGGAAACTTGATAATTATTGAGGAAAAGGTTTCGGTTTTTTTATTTGCTCGGTAATTTATGCATAACCGACATGATCATGTTTTTTTCCCTTCTCAAGTTAGATCAAGTAAAGTTTTTTAATGATATATTTCATATTTTCAGCAGCAGCTGCAGCAACAACAACAGCAACAACAGGAAGCGAAGAAACCGAGGCGATCTGCCAAAGAACTGGATGCTTTAATTGAGGAGAAGCGATGTGGGTTTTGCCTTTGTCTTGCGATTAATGTCTTTTTATTGCTGTGCCAAATTTCAGTCACTGCTGACATAACCCTGACTGTCCGTTCTATTGTTCGTCAAGTATGCGAATCTCTTGGTGAAGTCTATAATCAGAAGGACTCACCATCGCCATCTGATGTGCTTGTAGCTAACAACGACGACGATATCATAGAATTGGGTGAGTTTTGATTGTTACCGCTTTGTGTATATTCAGTTTTTATTCAGTTTTGGCATATCATTTAGGAAAAGAATCTTTGCTTGCAGACAGCCCCGGTGTGGATGATGATTTGGTCGACAGTGCAGAGGCCACAGCAAATGCCCATCGAGCATCTCTTATGGCACAAGTTCGAGTGGAAGTCGCGGATAATGTTGGAAATGTGGGCTCATCGATGCCCGGATACGTTGAGGACGATGACGAGAATGCAGTGGAATGCCTTCCTGAAGTGAGCTGATAGTTACATATTGACTTGATTTGAGCTAGATCTTTGGCTTTGAGTCTTTTTTCTGTCCTTTTGGATGAAGTGAAACATTGATTTTGATCTCGTTTTAGAATGTGAAAGCTGAATACGGGTCGGCGGTTGTCAAAGAAGTCCATGACGACAACAATGACGATGACTTACAGGTTATTGGCGAAGTTGAACAGTGAGTTTTTTGATGTTCTAAACTGACAAAAAAGGAATTCATCTAAAGTCCAATAAACATGGTTTCTAGTGCTCCTGGTGTTACATCGTCAGCTGTGGTCACGCGCGAAAAGAAGTACAAATGCTCGCGATGCAGCTCTATGTTTATCACTGCTCATGCAGCCAAGCTACATGAGGAGACGTCGCATAGCACTGATGCGGGTGGTATATGTGAAAAGGTTGGTTTAGCATCCCTTGCTTAGGTTATGGAAAATGACAGTTACATTCTAGGTCTTTGGCATACCTTTGAAAGGTTTCTTTTTCGTATGCAGGAACTGCTGCGCTGCATTTGAGAGTCAGCAGCAATTTAAAAATCATCGGGTAAGTTTCCCCTTTAGGAATGCTTACAAAGGGGAAATGAAGCACTTTCAGTTGTGTCATGGTCCAACGGGTTCAGTTTCATGCGGTGAATGCTCAGCCATAGCTTACAATACGCCGCTATTTGAACATCATCGCAACGCCCACGCAACCAAGGATAGACTTTTCTACGGATGCAGCCAATGCAGCATGATGTTCCGGACAGTAAGTTGCTAACAACGCTTTTGGTGAAGTTTTGCTAGAACACGTCGCTTAGGATGCACGCCTTATGTTCCATCTTCGAGAGGCACATGGTGTTCCCCTATTCTTCTTCTGCAAAGCTTGCCATCTTGGTGGCACTCATGAGAAGTCTATATATGTACACGTTGCTTTAAAGTCCCAAAGATGTCGTCAATTTGGTCAGCAAAAGAATTGGGTGAGTTGTCTACTTTAGTGAGAGTAATCCTATAATGATTGTCATTGTTAGACAAACCTGATGACCATTGGAGTATGTCCGGCTAATGTCCTGCATTACCAGCCAAAGAGTCCTGTGACTCATGAAATGATGATCTCCCGTGGTTCGGTCAGTACGATTTATTTTTCTTTCTAGTACTTGCTCCTCTCATATGTGCTTTTTCAGGTAGAAGTAGTGGTACCATCCGAGTGTTCGCATCGTTCATTTTTAGCGCCTACGGACTCACTGATAACTTGTAGGGAATGTTTCTGCACGGTAAGCATGTGTTTTGGAAGTATTCCGTGACAAATTGTGAGCATGCCAAAAGCTGTAATAAATGAATGTTATGCGTTCCAGATGACGGCTGCATCGTTCACCGCTGCCGAAGCATATAGAAACGGAGGTGTATCGAAGGTAGTTTTTTCCTGACCTTTTTTTTGCACAAATCTTTATTGCAAATTTTCCTACAGTGTTTCTGAACCACAAACAGAATCCTGTAACTGCATTTTTTGGGATAAATCTTGGAGGTTCAGCGGGCGTGTGTGTCGCAGCTTCACATATTGGACCAATTATTTTTTTTTTTGAAGTCCAAATGTATGCAATCGGTCTGACAGCCACAGCCTCGCACAGAGCAATCACACCATTCACATTTGAGCTGGGTAGTCGTAGCTGTTACTCATTGATAAAAGAATGAGAAGCACCTTTGAAAAGCAGGGAAAGGCGCAAATTGGCGATTCTTGACTAAGGTACTAGCTCGCACGCCTATCGTTGCGGTGTACTGCGCAAGGCTGTTGCCGTTATAGGGCCTGTAGGGTGTAACGGATGCAGGATATTTTTGCAGGCGTCGAGAGTTATAAAAAGCTTTTTTAAGGGAGTGAATTTTAGGAGCTTGCTATGACTCTCGATAACGGATTGGACTTTCCTTTCACTAGCGTATTTGAACCGACACCCAGTGAAACTATGCAAACTGTAAGTCATTTGCATTTGCAGAATGGGTTAACTTTTCTTTTATTCTAAATTGTTACGTTTAGCTGCAAGGGCGTGCAATAGCTCCAAGGATAGATCCGGCAGCATCCTATTTCGGAAATGGTTTGAGAAGTACCGACCCGCCACGACTGGCTCCACGACCAATAGTCAGCAGTGCACGAGTTGCTACTGTAGCTCCACTGAACAGGGCTTTGCCGGTCTTGAAGGTAATTCCTTTGATTTGTCCAGTGTTCTGTGTCCAAATTTTTACGTTTTTTCTTTCAGCGACGATCGGTTCAAAGTAGTAACTCTGATGTTATCACGTTGGGAGACGAAGAACCAGGTCCATCAGCAGCAAAGCGCGCACCATTGCCTGTCCAAAGATCGCGATTCCATGATCCTACTGTGGCAAAGTGCAAGGTATGTTTGTTTGACATGAAATCCGGCAGAGCTATTTTTTACTCGGTTGAGAGCATTAGCTCCTTTGGGCGTTTAGATGTTTTTGCATCCAACCTTTATGGCTTTTGTATTGACATGACTAAAACTTGTCTTGTTTCCTATTTTCTGTCATAACATTTTTCAGGTATGCGAAGCTCCCATGCCGTCAGCCCAGATCATGTCATTGCACGAGCTGCATAAGAATGGAATGGTATGTTTCTTCCATCCCACCAGTAGTTTCATGCGGTTAGCTAAAATGATACTCTGTCCAGAAATGGTTCTGTTTGGACTGTGCCAGTGCGCAGATGGATGAGGTTGAAGCGATGAAGCATTACTTCACCGTACATGTCAAAGTTGCGGAGCAGAAATGTGTTGAGAGAGGTACGACTAATTTGGGAATCGTGTCATTTCGCTTCTGTGTATCTTCCCATCTTGTCATTATTCAGGTCAGCTGTTCCGACCCTTACACTATGAGCTGCAATGCCCATTTCCAAAATGTAGAGAGCCATTGTCAACTCTTACAAATCTTCGGATTCACATTAATAATAAGCACAGAGCGGAAACAGCGTATTCATCGAGGTACGTAGTGATTAATTTGCCGTATTGTGTCACACGATCAATTGTAAACTTCAGTAGTCAATTTTCACTATTTTATACGGCTATTTTTTAGTGCATGTATGTTCCGATTCTGTTCACCATTTGCGAAAGCGAAACATGATGGGCAACATTCGAGTTATGAAAGGTCAGTTTGCATATTTTCTTCCTTTGTGTGTTTTTGTTAACAAAGAGATGTTATAGTGTGAATGGTGTAGAAGGAACCTGCTGCCCACTCTGTGGCACACTGAATCAGTGGAATATCCAGGTTATTGAGCATTTTTGATTTCTGGGCTTTGCGTATCTCAAACGACGCAGTATTATATATACTCTGTTTCAGATGCCTGGATCAACATACACAATGAGCCACATCGCGGTACATGGTCTGCGCCGTTATCACATGTGTCGTGATTGTTTTGTCTGCTTCAAGGGGGATTACGATGTACGTTTCTTTTGCTTCTTTCTTTCTGTTGATTTTTAATTCGCTTTAATATATAAAAAGAGATTATTGAGTTGTCTCATCTTGTATGGGAGTTATGGAAATTGACAAACTGTGGTACAATGCAACTATAGGTTCTCTTGGAGAAAATGTCACAGATGCTAGCGAATTGCCCCGCCCGTCCTTGCGCTGCGTTCATGTATTCTTCGGGCATTTCCACAGCTTTCAACTGCTGAGCGAGAGAATGCTTGGAGGATACGCGCAAGCGTGGCGCAAGGACCGATGGAGGTGGCCATGAGGCCCGGGCCGCTGAAGCTGCGACACCCTCATTGAAACAGTCTATGTGCATCGCCCTTGCCAGTTTTTCATATGCCGTAGAATCACTAGTTCGAGGAGTACACTTTGAGTTATCGTCTTCTTATATATGGTTTGCAGTGCATACGCATGAGAACGCATTTCGAAACGACCCACTGTACAGTGATACCAAAGACGAATAATCGCGAACTTTTGTGCAAACTTTGCAGAGAAGTGGTCTTGAAGTCACACCTGACTGAACACGTGATTGAAAAGCATTTGGTAAGTTCAGTAAGCTGTAGACGCTTGTTCCTACCTTGAGGTAAACTATTTAAAGGTGACTGGCTTCAAATCACGTGATCCGAAATGGCAAGGTAAACTCATAGTGAAGACCGGTGCTGTAACGCGTCGCTTCCTTGGATTTGATCGCATTTATCATGTTGGCGACGACTCCGACATGGACTAATTGCCACCTACCTCTGGTGCAATGTGCATATGTATTTCATCCTTGTCATTCATAGCTGTCTCTTTCCCCAGTGTAAAATCAGCCATTAGTAAGACCCGTAGAAGTTTTTTTTTGTTGATAAAAAGCAAATTAGCAGGAATGTCGAATGTATAGGCAAAATTCATGTCTTTATGTTCAATCAAATTACATGCTTGTTTTGTTACACTAAGTTTCATATTTTTACTATGCGTTGTGACAAATGGCTATTTATAATCATCTGTTTTGTTGTTTTCTTATGGTGGTATCTTCATTGTTGAAAATCTCTACATGAGCTATTATGCTTGTGGTATAGCCAGTAACGGGTGCCGTTTAGTGTTTGTATGTTGAACGGTTTTCAAGAAGTCGTATAAATATGTTGAAAATATATTGTTGTCATGCAAAACATATTTTGCCATGGGTTCTACGCGTCGTATATTTTTCGCTACGGAAGTGGGCCTAAAACTATGGGTTTTTTGAGGAAGCTTGGCAGCCAGGCCCTGCTAGATTTTCCAAAGCAATTTTATCCTCGAAATGTAAATCTAAAGAATTTTGCGACCAAGTCTGAGGGGGGGGGGAGGAGACCCCCCCCTGAGGCTTGGTCGCGAAATGCTTGAGATTTACATCGGTTATGGAGATGTGCAATGATTGTTCATTTTTGTGAATAGTTTTTTTAAAATTCTTTTTGAAATTGAAATTAGTCTTGTAAATTTTTTCTGTAAGTTTTTTTGGGCTACCACCACGCCTTTTTTCTAGATTTTGGGGGTTAAGGCCCAAATACGTCCGAATACGCCCAAACCCGCCCGAACGCCGAAACTGCCAATGCGCAGCAAATTGCATGCAAATTGGCATATTGAAGCACGCGTGGAATACTGCGTGCGTGGTGCATATATGGTAGCCACACGTAGCTCGACGTTACATACCGATTTTCATATGCGACTAGCGGGATTACAAAGATCAATCGACTTTGCGTCTGTTTTTATTTCTTCTCATGTTTGCTGACTCTAGGTGAGTTCTAACTTTCGTGCTGTGCGTTTTCTTTTCTTTTGAGCATGACGATCTTGTTGAGGTAATGCTTTGTTCTGTCTATGAGTCATTTCTTTCCATATCTGGTGCAATAAAAAGGCCCGGTCTTTGCTCAAAAGCGCCCAAATTTTTCTGTCTTTCTCTGGAGGAGAGATAGGAGTGAAGAGAGATTCAAAAAACTTGAGCGCTTTCGGGCGCTTTTGAGCGAAGTCTGGCCGGGGCCGAAGAGGTATTCTAGTCATCTTTACGCGTTAGGCATACTGTCCCTGTAAAGTATAAACAAAAAGTTGACAACGCACGTACTTAGAAAACAGACAAAGAAAATGTGCATATTCTACTCATTCCAGATCAATATGGAAAGAAATGACTCATAGACAGAACAAAGCATTACCTCAACAAGATCGTCATGCTCAAAAGAAAAGAAAACGCATAGCACGAAAGTTAGAACTCACCTAGAGTCAGCAAACATGAGATGAGAAGAAATAAAAACAGACGCAAAGTGGGTGCGTGGCGTTAGGTACCCAGCCGAGGTGCGGGCGTTAGGTACCCAGCCATTTGTGGTATACACTAAGCCACGCCCCTTTGTTACTGATCAGCGGGTACCTAACGATACGCCGAATTCTAGCTGCTAGAACAGCTCGCCTAACTCGCTAAAGCGCTGGCGCTTGCAACTCAGGAAGGAGGTAGTTTGAAGAAATCAAAAAGAAATCGCGCGAATGAAGAAAGCACAAGTTTGTACGTAACGTTTTCCTATTGCTTCTTTTTTTATTCTTCAATTTTAGAATCACCGAATTTCGGTGATGAGGTAAAGCTTATATGAACACTTCGCAAAGTTTGTAAACTCCAATGAACCATAATTCTATGATTTTAATGAAGCGAAGCACACTTTTGGAGATGTTCCCTGACAAATAAGTTGCAGGAAATATTCCTTTCACATATTGTCGTCGGCCTCGTTTTGAGTGTAAAGTTATAGGCGCGGTAATATTGCCACAAGGATTGTGAACTACATATCCTAGGTCATTAAGGTTATTACTTCACTCGTTGCTGAGGCCAGCAGATTTATGGAACATTACATTAATAAGCACACATTTTTTTAATTTCGGAAGAATTCACATCCCATATGGAGATTTCATCGAGCTACTGTATTTTATCATGTCTATGTGTAGTGCTTTTTTGGAGGACTTCAGTATAGCAATTGTTTCATATTTATTCTCTTTTCTAGCAGCCAAAATATGACCAATTTATCGCACTAATGTTATGTATTTTTTGTAACTCACTAAAAAGCGAAAAATTTTGTAGAAATTGCTATCAGTAGAGTTTGTTGCTTTTTCAGGTTTCATTCTATTGGCCACACCCCATCAAAACTGGCTTCCAAATCCCTCTGTGATGCAAAATTTTCATTGATTGGAACAGAGCTAAGGCCCTTTCCATAGATTATGTCACATGGACCTCCATAGAGTTCTGGTTTCGGATGACAAGTTATCGTTAAAGTTATCGTTGAAGCTCCAATCGGTTCTCATTGTCAAAAATATTCGTGAAGCAGTTTTTTGAAACAAGGATTATTTTGTGCAACTGAGAGCCAGGAGCAACTCCAAAAGTGCGCCTTTGCTTCATTGAAATCATAAAATTTTGCTCTACTATTATTCTACAAAGTTTACTTTTTATTTTTTCTTGCGAAACTATGTGAAGTGCTGAAAGCTTTACCCTTTTAACTTTTATTACCGATTTTCGGTGATTCTAAAATTGATTTAAAAAAGAAGCAATAGGAAAACGTTACGTACGAACTTGTGCTTTCTTCATTCGCGCGATTTCTTTTTGATTTCCTCAAACTACCTCCTTCCTCTGAATTGCAAGCGCCAGCGCTTTTGCGAGCTAGGTGAGCTGTTCTAGTAGCTAGGATTCGGTGTATCGTTAGGTACTCGCTGATAAGTAACAAGGGGCGTGGCTTAAAGTATACCAGCAATGACTGGGTACCTAACGCCCGCACCTCGGTTGGGTACCTAACGCCCGCCCCCCACGCAAAGTCGATTGATCTTTGTAATTCCGCTAGTCGCATATGAAAATCGGTATGTAACGTCGAGCTACGTGTGGCTACCATATATGCACCACGCACGCAGCATTCCACGCGTGCTCCACTATGCCAATTTGCATGCAATTTGCTGCGCATTGGCAGTTTCGGCGTTCGGGCGAGTTTGGGCGTATTCGGACGTATTTGGACGTATTCGGACGTATTTGGACGTATTCGGACGTATTTGGGCATATTTGGACGTATTCGGGCGTATTTGTGCGTATTTGGGCGGGTACAGGCGCGGTCTGAACGATCCCTAAAAAAAACCCTTGCGGACACCTCCCCCCCCCCCTTCGGACGGAATTTTGCGATCACCACTGCTTGGAAGATATCTTATTTATAAGTGGATGAGTTATTCGCGCAACTATATACTTATGCAGGTAACTTTTGGAGACTGCGGTACCCATTCTCGTTGGCGGGTGAAGGGGGAGGAGGAGGGAGGAAGATATGTGGAGACCGCCATTGGTTCGACCGAATGAGTCTTAGGGCAGGATACAACCTTACGATTTCTCGCTCCGCGATTCTTTCAACAAGATAACTGTAACAAATCCATTGCATGCCGATCATCTGCATTTCGGTTGCAAAAGTTTCCAACTTGACTAATCGCAAGTAACTAACACAACCGAAATGCAAGATGCTCAGCGTGCCATGGACTCGTAAGTGTTTTGTCGGATGAATCGCCAGCGATGAAATCGCTTGGTGTATGCCCGGCCGTTTCGCGATTCCCTCGATTTTGGGTGTATCTATTCTTCTCATTGCGGCGATCATGGTCTTTCACGAGAGAATCGCAGAAACTTTGAATATCTGCAGAGGTTGTAATAATGCCGATAGCTTTTACTGAAAAAGAGATAAATAGGCCTTAGGCCTAAGGATTACCTCAGGCGATTTCAGTCGCCGCGCGATCTGGCAATTTGCCAGATCTCTTCATAATCAATACTGGCAGACCGCAAATGCATAGCATGTATAACTTTTGAAGTTTGATAAAATGCACTATCATCCGTAGATTCAGAAACCCCTTACGATGAGTTATGAACAATTGGAACGTTGCCAAATCGCGCCGCGAATCGCGTGAGGTATGCCTCAGGCCTAAGGCATATCTCTCGCGATTTCGCAAAATCGCCACATCCTTGCGACTTGGCGATTTGCCAGATATCTAGAGATTAAGCATGCGAGGCTCTCAGATGCATGGTGCGTAGATTCCGTTGATTGTAACAAACACAGCAAGTCTGGCCCAACAAAGTGCGTTTACGACCAGCTATGGAGAGTCGTTGCAGTGCCAAATCGCGCGGCACTAAAATCGCGTGAGGTATGCCTTAGGCCTTAGGCCTTATAAAAAGAGACTCCTCGAGGGCGTGCGCCCTTTGTAAATAACAGTGGCGGACCGAGGGGGGGCGCCCCACCCCCCCCCCCCGAGAATGGGTCGCGAAGTTTTTGAAAGTTGCTTATATGGGTTATAAAAAATGTGCAGGTGACTTGTTTATTTTTGTAAATAATTAAAATAATTTTTAAAATTTTTCAAAAATTCAAATTAGCCTTGTAAAAAAATTTTTTTCGGGGACGTGGCTCACGCCACGCTCCCTTTTTCCAGATTCTAGGGGTTGGGAACCTGCAAAAATTTTGAGAAGCACCCAAAACATTTTTTTCGGAGTGCGTGGCTAACGCCACGCACTTTCACTGGAAAAATTTTTTTGTCGCACTCCCCCCACCCCGGTCCGAAATCCTGCGACCGCCACTGGTAAATAAATATAAATGGATGCTCGGATATGACTACTACTATTTATTTATTTATTTGATACACAAAACGCGTGCCACATGACCACAGTCAATGAAAAAAAACTCAAGATACATTCAGTAGTAAGGAAAACAGTAACGCAAAGAAAAAAAACATCCACTGAATCGGCTTAAGTCCTGCCCCCGAATGTTGTATAAAGAGAAGGGAAATAAGCTTGTTTAGACCATGTACGGAATCATGTCATAGGCGAAGATTCTCGACGGAGTCTGCCTCATGCCCCCTGCTTGCAGCACAAGTGCTCTTAAATCATTCGA